CCTACCGTAATCTCATCGTTCATATACATCTGATCACATTAGATAAATATATACAATACTCCAGCGTTATAGTCGTTACGATCTTTAAGGTACCGGTACTCTCAGGTTTGTTCGGTAACATATAAACTTCTTTGCATCATTCGATTGCTCAGAATCTCTGCTTTCAGAATATCATGCATTTTGCGGAGCAATTGTGATTAGTGATGTCTCTATTCTAGTTAAACTGTTCTATTCCTGTTCTGTTCCATGGAATAGAATAGAATAGAACAGTTCTCTAATGAGGAAGGAACAGTTTGGAACAGAATAGAGCCGTTTTTGAGCCCAAAAGAACAAAGTAGAACAGTTTTCAAAAACGTGGTATAGAGATATCACTACTCTTAGCTATTGACTGAAGCGAAATATTCGGCAAGGATCGTTTGAAAAATCACATCGCATTTTTGCAGTGTATTATTACTTGCACTCACTACTAATTTGATTGCCGCTAATCCATGTGATAATCTTGTTGAGTGATTTATTGTTCACAACTTATTTTTGTAATCTATTTCAAAGCAATCTTTAACACAATATCTTTTCATGACTTCTTTAGTACTTAATAAAACTTTCATCGAATGAAGATATTCAAGGATATTCCAGCGAGATCATTCTATGGATAAAATTCACATATCTGCTGGATAAATCCCCACGAACATTATTGGATGAACACCTGGAATGATCCCAGGAATGTTTGATAAAAACCAACTTCTTAAATCACCATCGAAATTGAAGTTTGATCCCTATCCCCGAATAATAACGATGAAAAGACATTCGAGGAATACAATATTTGAATACCATAGAGACACTCAAATGAAAGAAACGCGTCTACATATGCATATCGCAAAGTGTGCTTTCAGGTGAAGGCAAAANTTAATGTTAGTAGCAAACATTCAAATATTTACAAGCTAATGAAAATATCATAAATGGCAATTTCGAGCATTTTATCTTCTTTAGACGATCGTATTTTTGGAGCAATGTTTCAGCGTCCACTTTACCCGTATCATGTTCTGCTATTAAGAAGGGTTGATTGTTCGCATCACAAGGCCAATATCCGGGAAGACTCTGCAAGCACTATTCAATGTTTGCTCTTTAATGATCTTCAAAAACGTGAAAATTCTAACCGATAAACTCCAAAAAATTATCATTCATTCGTTCATGCAGCCGTGACCTCGAGAAACTACAGTCCTAATGGAGGACGACTTAAACCGAAATCGCTTTTGTAGTACTTTCGATTGCAACCAGATGAAAATTCAGGTAGCATTCAGAATGTCAAGGCAATCTTCCAATTGACACAACTTCCTTTTTAAATGGTCAGCAATTCTTGGTTGTTCGTGACTGATTAAAGATCAAAATTTACAGTTCACCATTGAGATAATAAATTGAACGCATTCTAAACTTCAACACATTCCGAAATCTAGGAATTTCGAAAATTCAGACTAATCAGCGAGGATCGGAGTTGATTTTTCAAGATTTTGCCGTAGATGGATACTTTTCATGTTTGTTCCGCACGATAGTTGAAGAGTTTCTTAGAGCACATATATTTTCGATGATCCTTTCTAGCATTACCTTATGGTCAACAAAAGCGAACGAGCGTCGCTCATCAATTCTTGTGATATTAGCCAATGAAGCAATGATACCCGTGAAGAGTAGGTCTTCAATTGGTATCAGCCAGGTTTCATTAACATTCCTCAGGATTTTACCAACTGCATCAGATGTGACCAGATAAAAAATGCCACCAACATAGACTGGGTATTTGTTGCCTTGATATAGCTCTTCCGGAACGTACCTGAACAAATCATCAGTTGGTCTCCAGTTGAACAATTATAGATTGATGCAATTTTGCGAACAATTCCTTTGAGAACGAAACTCGTTTACGTGGGCTCCTTGCAATTGAGACGGTTTGTATGGTAATGAGGCAGAAATGAATAATTACGACGGGTTGACGAACCACTTCTTACGAGGATCCCTGATTGGTGCAGAATCATCATACACATTACCAAAAATTGAATTTTCACCCCGGAATCGATCCAATGAACTGGCCAATCGATCGATATCGATCACCACATCGTCATCGGTTTTGGCCAAGTATTGCGCATTTTTGCAAAAATATTCCTTATATTGAAACAATGAGTGCGTCTGAAACTGACGGTTCGCAGAGTTACACAAACATATTATTCAGATTGCCTCTGAAGTGTGGACTTCACTTTCATAGGTTGGAACTCGTGCTAGTGATCGAACATTTAGGGAACATTTGAACTTTGAATGATTTTGTATTGTATGGAATATTTCTTTGCTCACTGACCTTCAACGGAAGATTTGAATAT